ATTCAAGAGGCGTGTGGCTGCAGGTGGGCGAGACGAGGGGGAGCTGCCAGGCAGTGCGGCGCCTACTCATTATGTCCTAGACGCAGAAGGAATCCTAGAGAGCAGCAGGGCACCCATTAAAAATGTATTGTGTGGCGCAGGAGGCATGTGGCGATGCGAGTGCAGGCAGAGGCGGGGACAGGGAGGGACGAAGCTGCTCCACCTTCGCCTTCGCCTCGGCCTCCTTCCGTGCCTTCCGTGGCTCTATGTGTGTTTGTCTTTTGTTTGCTTTCACCGTGGAAAATCAGGCTATCGATTTTCTCCCAGGAGCAGCCACGGAAGGAGGCGGCAAGGGGGGGCGTGTCTGGTTACTTGCGCTTTTTTCCGTCCGCTTTTTGTTGACTCTGCACAGCACACGCGGCCCCCACCTTCTACACCCCCACCCCACCCCGGCCGGCGACCGACGAATGCTCTACACGCGCCAGCGTCCTCGTCCTCGTCCAGGACCTTAAGCAGATTTCCATCAGGAGGGAGAAAACTTTACACTGAAATGGAAATTGAATTTGAAAACGCTGCAGTTCGCTGGCCGTGTCGAACCGTCCCTCAGTCCCGTAGTCGCCCAGTCCGTCCGTCCGTCTGTCCGTCCGTCAGGCTGTCCGTCAGTCTGTCAGTCAAAGAGCTTGACAGCTTGGACACTTGGTTCGGTTCGGTTTGGTTTGGGTTATTTAATTTGCAAATAGAAACTAATTTACTGGCAATTAGCAGCCTGCGGAGGAGCCGAGGAGAACGGACGGGTATCCCGGGAACTGGCGGAGGGGAGGGGGTCGGGGTCCGGGTCGAGACTGGACTGGGTATCCCCGAGTATCCGTCCACTCTCTGGGTTTGCTTAGCAATTAATGATTTTCAGTTAATTTGAAAAGCAAGTCGAGCATGAAATCGAATTCGAGACGCTGGGCACGTAGCACTCATAACCGAAAAATGTGGCAAAACTGTGGCAGAAGCACACTGGAGTTCCTGGAGCCACTGGAGGAGGGCTATTGTGGCTGCTATGGGGGCGTCGGCAGTGACGTCGATATTCCTGTCAATTAATGGCCAAGGAAACACACGCTCACGTACTCGGGAAGTGAGCAAATGAATCATTCATTGAATGAAGCGAATGCCAGATCCAAGCAGCGCAAAAAACAGGGTAACAGCTGTAACAGGACAACCGCGCTGTTAGCAGCCCAAGCTAACAGCCTGTTATCGCTGCTGGGTACCGCGCTCTGTTAACATCCGCCTCGCACTGTTAACATTTGCCTCGCTCTGTTAACATTTGCCTCGCTCTGTTAACATCCGCCTCGCTCTCGCTCTCTCGCTTCTGTGCGCTCTTAGGATCCACATGGCGCTCACCGTTGCGTGGATCGTAAGCTAGTTTTAGCTGGGATTCCACATACAACACGAATAACCTAGTCATATTGGAATCCACCTGCATTTCTTATCACGACGTAATAATACGTTGGATTATTACGACCAGATCCGCCCCATGCAAACAAAATGCACTCCACAAAAGCCACAAAAGTCTGCCAGGGAAAATGCTAGGGAATAAACATTGCTTTTGCTTCATTCTGCTTCAGTTTTATGCCAGGCTGTGTCTGTATTTCCAGTAACACTCGTATGACTAGATAATGGAGAACAAAATCGATTTCTCGTCCGCCGAAATACGCATCTATAGCCATAATTAATTGAAACTCAATTATTAAACTCAAACTCGAATAATATTTATCCACGTATCTCTGTCCCAATCTGTGTCTGTCATTTCCCGGCACATGCCATCCCCCCCTTCCCCCATCGCAAGTCCTTCCAATGCCAGACACGGACACGTGGCGGGGCGGGGCGGGGCGGGGCTGGTGAATGGTCGGAACGATCTCTATTTTTCGGTTGAAATGCTGTCAGCGCAATTTGCCGGGACATCAGAAAGCAATTGTCAAACGGGGACAATCGGCCCTGAAAAACCAGTGAAAAGTGTGCGAGCTGTTGTCTCCGCAGGTGTCCTGCGATTCCAGCAGATACAGAAACAGATTTTAATTGAAATTACGTGCATCCTGTCCGAAGCACAGACTTAATTCAATCAACTCTTGCAGCTTGAAGCTGGAAAACCCTTTAAAACGGCCCACAGCCGCAATCAGCTCTGGAAAGTGTGAAAAAAGGGAACAAAAAATAAAAGAAAAGTGCCAGAAAAAAGCCCTAATTGACTTTCTAATAGTTCGGCAAATAGTTTCGTTCGCCCCGAAAGTATGCAACAAAGCTTGTCAGACAATCAAAGTTTGGTGTTGCACAGCCCCACACTTGCCACCCGGGCCACTGGGCCCCGCAAGAATCTTTGCCACACACAAAAATGTTCTTCGCCCTCCACGTTCTTCCCTTTTTTCCAGAGCCTGAGCTGCCGGACGACTTGTTTGTTACGGCAAATAGTTTTAATGGGCGGCGGTTTTCCGGCGATGCGAGCCGAGCAGTCAAACTTTTCCCGGCCAAGACAATGCCTAGACTCGGGGCTGGGGCTGGGGCTGGGGCTGGGGCTGGGGCAGGGGCTGGAGCTGGGGCAGGGCTGGGCGAGGAGCGAGGGGGTGGCTCACTTCAATTTACAGCAATTTGTTATGAAATTCAAAGGGATCTGCGTGGTTTTACTTCCTTTGCAATTTGCAAGGCAATTAAACCTGACGGGCAGGCAAGGCAGCGAAGGCAGGGCGGCTGCTGCTGAAGTTTGTTCTACCTTCGTGGGGCACACAACGTTGCGTATGCGCAATGTTCGGCTAGAACGAACTTCGCTCTGAAATAAAAACTGCATAAATAAACACTTTGGCTGGGAAACCCACCCCTGCCCGTGCCCGTGCCCCCACGTCCCTTTTGCCGTACTTTTTGTGTAATTCCGTGATTGCGCATTTATGGCTTCATTTTCCTCAAACATTTTTATGTTCAATTTGTTGGAACAGGAAACGGGGGAAACAGGGAAACGGGGAAACGGGGAAACGGGAAAACAGCCTTTGTGGAGAGGCTTCCTTTTGCGGTAATTTGCAGCGTCCTTTGAACCCAAGCGCCCGCTTATCGAACATTTGTCCTGCGGCATTTGGCCATATTTTACTTTAAATGTCCTCTCCATGCAAATGTTGTGTGTGGCAGCCCCCCTCCCCCCTACCCCCCGCCCGTTGCAGCCTCCCAGCCCCATATATCAACATAGCATTTACCGCTCCGCGAATTAAGGTCACATTTACTTAACACTCGCACAGAGTTCTCCATTCTCTCCACTCCCTGCACTCTCCCCATTCGCAGGGAGCTGCGTCATTCGTTAAATAAAGCAAACAAAAACCAGACCAGACCAAACGTAACGCAACGCAACGCAACACAACGTAACGTAAAAGGGAAATTGCGTAATTTCATTAATAAAATAAAATAACACTGCAAAGGAAATGGAGCGCATTTTGGAGCTGGCTGGTCGGTCGTTTCTGGCCCTCTTAAAGGCCCTCCCGTACATTGTAAATCCGAGCAGAAGAGAGGAGAGAAAGAGCTTCCATTTGGTTTATTGCCGCTGGTAATGAGCGCAAATGAACTATTATTCCGCGGAGGAGAGAGTACCCTGCCAGACACAATTACACATTTACTACTTAGTTCTCCGATTAACTGAGCGACTAACTAGTCCGCCGCTTGTTTGTCATCGATTGCCGAACTCTTCACATCCCGATGTGGGCTCTGATATCCTTGAGTGCATTTCATTTATTGGAGGAATCGAGCAAAGGCACGAAGCGGAAAGGGAAACAACTATCGAATTCCTGGCAAGAATTCTGGGGGGGGACTGAAGTTTCACCAACTTATGAAATATGTGATGGCAAAGTTGGGGCCCCAAAATGGAAACAACAATATAAGTCCGGGGCCCAACCTTAAGGCGGGTTTTAGTAGGCCACCTCTATTCTTATCCTTCTTCCTTTCTCTCTCTCTCTCTTTGGTTGGGCGCCTTTTGAGGCTCACGTTTCAGCTGGAAATTGCGAGTAACGAGGAAAATTAAAAAGCAATATACAAACAGCAATCACGCAGCAGCGAAGGAGGAAAAGAAAGCCGAAACTCGAATTCAAGAAAGTCTTGCCTGTCCACTATGTGTGTGTGGGTGTGTCCTGGGCCTAAAAGCAGGCCCACACGCGTGCGGCCATTAAGTAATTCGGTTTAATGGTCAGCGAGCACTGGCCCCAACCTGCGACTGCGACTGCGACTCTTCGGTGGTCTTCGGACTACTTGTTGGCTTTTCCACAACGGAATGAATGTGTGTGGTGTTGACCACACCCACCCGCCCAGAGGCCACTGGCAGGGGTAACCGAACACCCTGCCTAATGAGCCACACAGCGAGAACGTTCCAAAAGTGCTCTAATGTTTGTTTGTGGCATTAATTTTGTTTACAAGTCGTTTGTGCACCCCACCCCAGGAGCGGATGGAGGAGGGGCAGGAGGAGGATGAGCAGGGGGGGGAGGCACAACGAACTGCTTATTTGCCATGTGCCAGGGGCAACTGTCACTGGCTGTCCGTCCATTCGAAAGGGGAGCGCCGGCTCCGCTCCATCATTCATAGTCGATTGGCGTTCTGTTTTTATTGCGCCTCGGAATAGACTACAAATATTTGCAGTGCACTCCTCCCGCCCACCCTTTCTCTGGAATCGGGAATATGGAAATGGACACTTCCTTGGGAAGAACACTTAATTGATTGCTTTTCAGCTGAGCTCGGGGGCGGACTGGGGAGGGTCCGACTGCGTAATTGATATTTAATTAAAGCGCAGCTCACGAGGAGTGGCCTCCTGCCAGCGAGAGAGGGGTGGGGTGGGCGGTGCACCTAGAAGAAGTGCGGATGGCTACTTGAGAGTGGCTAAGTGGTCGTCGCCATTCCAGAGACACTAATGGCTACTGCGGATCTCTAGTCGATTACTCGAACTTCTTGTATTTCCGAAATCTCAGACAAAAGGAAGAAACACAGAGTGGAGTGGAGTGGGTGGATTGCATCGATCCTCAACCCCTGCAGCGCTTGCAGGGTTCTCTTGGCTCGGGAACGGTCCTGGCCACATACGTCTGCGGGTTCTTCTTCTCGGCCACCTCTTCGGCCCACAGTTTGTTGAGATAATCCTCCAGCTTGTCCACCATACTGTCGCCGGGATCCGTGCAGCTTTCGCTGGTGGAACCCTCACTCGAGGCCCCGCCATCGCAGACGTTCGAGGATCCAACGTCGCCGGGGCACACATCCGAGGAGCCACTGCAGCTGTTGTGCCTGCAGTCCACGGGGCAGTGATGGTTCTCCCAATCCTCGGTGGACGCTGCTGCCGTGCTGCTGTCCTCGTCTCCGTCCTCGTCCTCTGGAAGCGTGTCTCCTGCACACGGCGGTCGCTGGGACTTGGGCTTGGGCTTCGGCTGCGGCTGCTCATCCTCCAGGCGGTACCACTTCACCTTGTACGAGTCCTGGCCGCATTCCCCGTACTCCTCGCCCGTCAGCTGGTCGATGTTGCACTCACAGATCAAGAACGGGCTGTTGCACTTGTCGCAGCGCGGCAGATTCACCTCTGCGTTGCGCACGGGACGTGGCAGCTGCACCGTTCGGCTGGGCAGCTGCAGGCCGCACAGAATACAGGCCTTGGGCAGATCGCAATCGTCCTTGAGGGCGAGCTTCCTGAGCACCCGTCTGTCGGGGGGCCTTGGGTCGCCGGGCACCACCTGCTTGGAGCAGCCACGACAGGTGCACAGCGGCACCTGCATCGGGTTGCAGCGGGCACTCATGCGGCTGTAGAGCGCCTCGTAGACCGCGCCGATCTCCCGCTCGTAGAACTTGTGCGCCCAGAAGAAGGCCGGCTGGTAGATTTCGAAGATCTTGGAGGTCTTGTAGGCGGCATGCATCCATGCCCGCTGCTGGTTGTGAATGGCCATGGCATCCCCGAAGGGATTGCTGATCGACGCCGGCGGCTTCCCGTGGAAGAACGCCTTGAACGCCCGCTTGACGATCGAGTACGACAGCATGGCCTCCACGCGCTCCATCTGGCACTTGATGCGCAGCGCCTGCAGCATGTCGCTCCGATTGAGACGCGACCCCGGCGCCGCACTCGGGCTGCACTGGGTCCTCATCTTCTCGTAGTACACGAAGGCCCGCTTGATGATGGACCTCGCCTGGCCGCACTTCGTGGCGTGGATGCCGCAGATCAGCATTATCTGCGCCAGGCTCTTGGCGATGTCCTCCAGGTTGTCCTCGAACAGCTGGCGGGGATTCAGCTTCTGCCTGCAGTTGCAGCAGCAGACGCCTGCGGCGTCCTTCACCTTCTTGGCTTCCTCCTCCATTTCTGGCCAATACGATTTTGATTCACACTCGACGAATTTTGTCACTACTACTATTCCCGAATAAAAATTAACTTTCCCTGAATGCCCAAAGGGTGTTCTATGCCATTGCTATGGCTATTGGCATCCAAGGAAAAGCCTGTGTCGATTTTTTTCGATTTCGAAATTCTATAAGCATTTTAACACGTATTTCCCCCCAAAAAGTAGATATTTTTGCATGTTTTCCAAACACATATAGTAGATTGCTTGCAAATGTTTATTTCTACCAAAATCCACATCAATTGAAGCACCTTAGAAGATCATGGCTCCCCTTGTACACCTTTATGCTGAGTTTTAGGGGGCATCGGGCTCGACCAAAAACGCTTGCAGTGATTTTTCTAATGAATTTCAATCATTTTTATAAATTTAATAAATCGTATACGTGGAATATGCATAAGTAGGCGCGTAACCCACCTCGGAATCGTCTGTGTGTATTGTAGGTGACCGCCGTGTGGATCGTGAGAGGATGGAAGGTGTGGATCGTGAGAAGGTGGCTTGTGTAGGTCGTGGGAGGAAGGCATGTGTGGATCGAGAGGGAGTGTCTTGTGTGGATCGTGAGACGGTGGCTTGTGTGGGTCGAGAGAGCAAGGCATGGGTGGATCGTAAGGGGATGGTTTGTGTGGGTCGTGAGAGTAAGGCGTGTGTGGATCGTCCGAGCGCCCCCGAGCGTGCGCGATCGAGTTGGAACCGAAGCGCACTCTGTGACGCAATGACGACAATGCTATCGCCCTGAACAGTCTGAATAGGATAACATTAAACAACAAAATTAATTCTACAAATACGAGTCACGCCCAAGAAACTGTTCAAACCACACAATTTCCGACATCTGCGTAGGGGCCTGTCTTTTATAGCCATAGCCTTGGGTGTTTGTAGTATGACCTGGTCAAAATCGACACTTCCTTGCAAAAGTCTTGCATATTTTGGTCAAATCATGCTTCCAGCTTTTTCTTGTGCGGTCGCGTTTTCTATCATTTAACGATAAACGAAAAATATAAACCGTGTCATGATTTGCAACGATTTTCGATATGGATTTTCAAGATTCCAAGGAACGCTTCGATGAACTTAGTTCAACTTTTGGCAATGCCACAAAAGCTCCTAAAATAGGTTAAGCCCGTTCAACCTCCTGCAGAATAGTTTTTGGAACAACAAATCCATTTTCAATGTTATCTTCAATACAAATGGAATATTTAAGGGAATGAAAGCTCCGAATGTATCTGGAAAAGTATCAAATATTTGTAATTAAGTGGAGCACTTCTATGGAACCAAAGGAAGAGCAAACAAAGGCCTGGCCTGCACTAGCAACAAGAGCAAATATTGGGGGAAAATGGGAAAACTAATTCGAATCACTTGAAGCATTCATTCTCCGACCTGAACAATATCCACACTTGACGAAAGAACAGAAAAGTCCTCCAGTAACCGAAACAGAAACGGAAACAGAAACTATGTCAATCGGCAGCCTCGAAGGCGGTGGAAATGGTGGAAAGCAGAAAACAGAAAACATAAAGAGGAAAAGAAGGAGACCCAAAAAAGGCAAACACACACCAATTGCAGCAAATCAAGCCGAGCAACTTTGTGTATGTGCCACTTGAAACTTCGAGACAAGGTGGGCGGGGAGGTCCTACTGCCACAGCCAGTGGCACTGCTCGTGATGGTGCTGCTGCCGGCCATAATTATAAATCAACTAGCGAGTGTGCCCCACCTGCTGCTGCCTGCCTCCAACTAACTAATCCACTCAGGCAAAAAGGCACAAAGCAACATTAAAAGCGGCAACTTTGCCCCTTCTCCTCCCCCCTGCTACCCTTGCGACCCACTTGCAACAAGTTGGGGGGTTGGGCTGGAGATGGTTTGGGGAAGTATTCCTATAGTTGGCTGGCTCACTTTCACTCCAAGGGCGTCACAGAACAGAACAGAAACAGGAGAGCCCACTGGAGTGGAGTGGAGTGCAGGACTGGCAAAGAGTCCTGAGTCAGAGAAAAGGCCGGGGCAGAGTCCCCTGTGTATGACATCAGCTATAATTTCCATTACGAGTCGAGCGCTGAAAATTGTACACCAGGGAGCTTATTAAGCACGCGCCCCCACCCCGTGCACCCGTGCCCCCGTGCCCCCTGCCCTTCGCTGGCCAACTCGCAGTGGAGTTCTGTAATGTGCAAATGAAATGAAATAAAAATGCCAGGGCGGAGGGGTCGAAACGCCACCGAAAATTATAAAAGGAAAGCAAAGAAAGAAAACGGGAAAAATGTGCCAGAAATGTGCCCTACGAGACGGGAACTTGGCCAGCATTTTCCAATGTGTTCCGGGAACACGAGTTATCCTGTTATCCTTTCACTTGTTGCCCCTGAACTTCGAGTATCCGCTATTTGCGGTCTCCATTCATTTCAGGGTCTTGATAATTCCTGTCTTTCCTGCCATTTGCATAGATCACAGACAGCTCAAAAGGAACGAGTGCTAACTAGCGAGTGCGAACTAGCGATTGCGAACTAGCGAGTGCGAGCTAGCGAGTGCGATCTAGCGAGTGCGAGCTAGCGAGTGCGAACTAGCGAGTGCGGGGGCCATCACTCAACAACAGCTGTTTTCCCAGCTGCCAGAAGTCGGGAACTTGGGGATTGGGGAATGGCTGGATCTGTTCTCTCAAAGGGGATGCTGGCGCGATGTTGTGCGGCAGACAGCACTTTCGGCACTCGTCAAAAATAAATCAAAGCATTGCATACTTTACGGCGTGAAATTACATAATGTTCTCGCTCTCTCTTTAGCCCCCTCACACACACACACACACACACACACACACACACACACACATAGACATACCATTTCCCTTTGTTTTCAATTTCGTTTATAATCAAAAAGGGGAGTGGCGGGGGTGGGGAGGGGGGGGAGAAGTGGTACACCATGGCAACCGGGGGCTCGAGCTCTGCCCGGCTCTGATTTCAACGCTTATTCGGCTTCTGATTATTATTTCATGGCGGCGCAGGCAGGACGACACGAGGCAGCGCGCCTCAGCCCGAGTAGCGAGTCCCGAGTAGCGAGTCCTGAGTGCTGCTCTCACGCATCACGCGCCCGAAAGTATGCAGGCCATGATGTTTGGCTTTTATCGCCTTCGCCACATACCCATTACAGCCCTTCGGCACAGCAGAAATCCCAACCAACCCCCAACCCCCTGCCCCCTACCACCATCTGCACTTCGGGGTTCGGTGTCGAGTTCCTATTCCTTTGTTTTCCAGAAGTTTTGCGTGTTATTATTATTTTACTTTGTAATCTTTTTCTGGCACGTTTCGTTTTTATTTGGCTTTCGCTCTGCCTTTTGGCTTCTGGCTTCTGGCTTCTCTGCTCTCTGCACCATTCATCAATAATTCACATTGATTTCCTTGCCACTGTGTTTGGCTCCTACCCGGCTACCCCTTAATGTTGGCCAAGTTGCCGTTTCAATTTCCATTCGCCCCGTGAACACGAGGCCCCATCGAGGGAGTACGTTCCCCGCAGGAGCCTGTTCGAGCAGTGGAAGCTGCCAGGCACCAGGACTGGCTAAGCGGGCCTCTAAAAGTAGTACTCCACTCCACAGATCGTCCTTCAACCGTACCCTTTGCTGCGATTCCTATAGTTCCTATAACCTTAAAGACTGTGCGAGTCCGAGTCTACAATTTTGCCAGTTTTTCCATTCCGTTTGTTGCCTTTTTCCTTATTTTTGCGTCTTTTTTGCATCGCCTGAGTAGCTGTCGCCCCTGGCAATGATATGGCAACACTGCAGCAGACAGGGCACAAACAGAGGCCGATGGGGGGGGGAGGGGAAACATGGGGCAGCATCGGATCGGATGGAGCCAGAACACTCAGTCATGCGTTCGTCCTTTCTCCTTGTTGTTTTCTTTCCTTTTGGATACCGCTCCTGCCCGTGCCCCCATGTGTGAGGGAGTATCGCATGTTGATTTGATTGGATTTGATTTAATTTTCCAATTGAAAACACTTTATCATGTTTCCACGTGTGTGCTAGAACAACACAAGATATTACAAATGCGTATGCTACTCGTAGAATCCCTGCGGATGCGGATGCGGATACTTGATACTCGCATGATGTATAGCACGGGCTCGGGCACGGGCACTGTTGCGCCCTATTACGCGACAGATTCACGTAAGCCAAGACGAATGTGCCGGAGCCCTCTGAAAAACGATGCCAGATGCTTTACATGCATCAGAGGGCACACCGGATTAAAACTGAGACGATGAGATGGGCAGGGACGGGCTCTCCATCGGCTCTTGGAGATGGGCAAAAGTTATACGTGCGACAAGTGTGTGGCATAGCGATGGGAACCAATCGATAATTTGCTCAAATATCGATTGTTATCGCAGCGCGATAGATGTGTGTTTCTGTGGGGTATTGGCTTCGTTCGGTCACTTAGGCTTTTAGGAATATGTCCCCCGATTTAGAACTGTCAAGACTCGCCTCGTCTTGACAGTCCTTGACAGTCCTTGACAGTTGAAAATACGTTTGCGAAATTTGCTAAACTGAACAGCTGTTCAATAAGTAATCAAAGCCGAAAACTAGGTAGTTCCAGAATGATTATGTTCGTTAATCAGAAGGAAATGCAATTTGGCTGCGAGGACTCTTTCTATTTGGTGCCGTTCAGTGCAGATGTGAGCTTGGAAACTAACAGCCTACAGCCGCCTCTCGACTACTCGATTGCCCGATAACTAATCCGCAACTCTGCCTTTCCGCTTTTCTTCCAACAGCAATTGTTCCGGTCGCAGAATCCAGGCCTTGCGGCAGTTGCCTCCAATGCAGCCGCCGCCGCAGCCGCGGCCGCAGCCGCCACATCCGCCGCCAGTGCAGTCGGTGCCCCGCCCGGCGCCCCCAACGGGACGCTGCAGCAGTCGCAGCAGCAGCAGCAGCAGCAGATGCAGATGGCCGCGGCCTCCCAACAGTTTCTGGCCGCCCAGCAGGCGCAACAGAACGCGGCCTATGCCGCGCAACAGGCGGCCCCGTACGTCATCAATCCGGGCCAGGAGGCCGCCCCCTACATGGGCATGATAGCCGCCGCCCAGATGCCGCAGTACTACGGCGTGGCGCCGTGGGGCATGTACCCCGGGAATCTGATACCACAGCAGGGCACCCAGCCGCGCCGCCCCCTGACGCCCTCGCAGCAGGGAGCCGATAACCAGCCGTATCAGGTGAGTCACTCCCCTCAGCGCCTTGTATATACACCCCACACACACCCCACACACGTACATACAAACACACATCAGCACATTGTACAATCAATACCGATTGGGGCGCTGTACAAGGCCCAGGGCTTAAGTCGTGTAAATTTGAAGTCATGTAAATTGCGTGCACCTGCCGCCTGCCACAGATGGTGGGTCTCTTGTACAGTGGGCCCGTTATGTTCTCCTTCTTTTCGAATACTCATCTGCAAACCAAAGAACCAATCGCATTGCATAAACGATTCTAACCCTGTACAAAATGAAACCAACCACAACGAAATCTCTGTAAAATATCGTCCAGGTCATACCGGCCTTCCTCGATCACACCGGCTCGCTTTTGATGGGAGGACCCCGCACCGGCACGCCCATGCGACTGGTTAGCCCCGCCCCCGTGCTGGTGCCGCCGGGCGCCGCCCGAGCCGGACCCCCGCCGCCGCAGGGCCCACAACTGTACCAGCCGCAGCCGCAGACAGCCCAACAGAATCTCTACTCGCAGCAGAATGGTTCCAGTGTCGGAGGTAAGTCGTCAATCCCACCATTGCCCACCACCCCAACCCCCTCCCATCCCCAAGTAATACCCCCATTGTAATTAGTGTAAAGTGTTGCATATCATCAACATCCTACTCCCCCTCCCCCTCCTCCACCACCCTGTATAGCCTGTATATCTGTATAGTCATTAATCTGGGTTTATCCACCAATCCCCATTCGGCAATGGGCGTCGCTTGTAATTATAATGCCAAGGGATTTCAGAGATCCCCTCGGATCAGCAGGGGGTGTCTGTTACTGCTAGTATTCCAATTCCAAAAGATAAATGCTGGAGAATCGGCTACAAAATATATCTAATCAAAAACAGAAGCGCCATTGGGGCACAACTAGGGGAAAATCGCATGCAGGTACGCAAAATGCGAAATGCAAAATGCAAAATGCAAAATATTATTATTGCTGCAACAAATTCAGCTGCAACTTCAACGTTTGCTACAGACACGACACACTCCCTAGGTGGCGTGGCATGGCGTGGTGTGGTGTGGCACGAGTCTCGACGAGTGCCACTGCCAGGTTTCCGGCTTTTGGCAGGTTCTATTCTGGGTTATTCCAGGCTTATGGCACTCAAAATATTATGGAAAGCAAGCGGAGGGACCCGACGCTGATTGATAGATAATATTCAAACAAAATACGGCAATAGTCCTTATACATTCTGTATACATTCTTTTGCCGTCAATTGAATGGCAGCGCCGACTCGGAGCTTATTTCAAGCAAGTTGGCAGCCCAGGCTGTGGGTCCTGCCCTCTGCACTCGATGTACAGTGGGTGCCTATTGTTTTCCCAGTGTGTCTGCTGTCGCTTCTGCTGCTCCTTGTGCGGCGTGGCCAAAAATAACATTTTGCCATTGAAGTCGAGCTCCAAAAGCCCTTCGGGGGAAGGCGGAGAGGGTGGGCCAGCTGGCTGAAAGGAAAATGTCGACGTTGGCTTATCATTGTTGTTGTAAATTTATAGAATTTCAAATTATAATTAATAACAGCAGTCAGGCAATGAAAGTTTACACTTTGTGCTCAAACTGTCTGCCCCCCCTGCCCATGCCCCATGCCACATGCCTCTCTCCTTTCCTCGTGGGTTTTTGTCAGAAGTTACATATCCTTAAATCGACGGCCAGGAGTCGGGCAGCTTTAAAGCGCACCGATCGGACGTGGACAGCTCCATTAACTCCATTAACGGTCGGGCGAAATCAATTATTGCGCTTTCCGCCGACAGTTTTCGAAGCTGTCCGACTGACGGACGTCCCCCCCGTCCCCCCCACCACTATCCTGTGCTTACCGCATGCAAAAATTCCCGCAACGGGCCATTAATGGACAGTGGAACAGCGGCGCGTGCATTATTATATCGTTAATTCATTTTGGCTTCTCATATGGCAGTTTAATGAAGTTTCCCCCCCAAGCACCGTCTGTCGAATGTTCCACATGACGTATGAGTGATTACGCATTTCAATTGTGTGTGTTTCAGTCCAACGGACTGTCGTAATTGCTTCTCTGCTTGCCTGACAGACCCGACAGCGCGGCTTAAAGCTGTGCCTGGCCCTCGAATGCAAATGGGAATCAATCGAATCTATTCCTAGATGCAAGCCAAGCTCCTCCGACGTGCCTCAGTGGAAAACTGCGATGCAGGTGATTAGGCCAAGGGTCTCTCGAGAAGTGTACCCGATGCACTGATCCACATATCCACGTATCCGCCTCTGCAGCCACATCCACATTCACTGACAATTCCACTTGCACATTCGCATCTCAATTACAATTAGCACATTGGGCCCCCCCACAGTTTGGCCTCCACTCGCACTACCAGGAGGCTGTGGAGGCAACCCCCCACTCATTATGTTGTGCAATCGATGCCCTCTCCCCTGCTCTCTCCTCTGGCTCTCGCTCTCGCTGTGTGCAATGTCAAAAAGGCTTTTTAATGGAGATTATATTGTTTTAAGTGGCTGACTGAAGGAGAACAGCAGCAGCAGCTGTGCACCAGAGTGGGAGGCGGCATCCATTGCTGCCTCAGAGACAAGCTGCAATTACAAACGTTAATGCACCTTGGCCTGGGTCTGAAGGGTTGCGTTACCCGTTGGATTGGCAGAGACTCAGGGGCTGAGGAGGGAGACGGCTGCTTGGCTTGGCTTTGCAACCGCCAAACCCATTTTGGGGCATTGCCTTGAAAACAATGGGAGTACGAGTGGCAGCAGGCAACATCCTCCTCCTCTGCCGGCTAAATTATTATGTACACCTTTCGCATGTTGGCAACATGTGATTGGATCGAAGGACTCCTCCTTCGAGGCGCACACCCGCACAGGCAGAGGGAAAGGGAAAGTGAAGGCACAACCACCGTGCCACCCAGTAAACCGACCACTTTGCATACAATGCAGCACATTGTTCATCCTGCCACTGCCACATTGAGCCGCTCTCTGTATCCGCATCTGGCTTTGCCTCCGCTCCTCTGTGCTGCAGCCTTTTGTGCAAATGAATTCGTTTATTTTGTAAAATGTCAATTGCTATGTTGGCTTACAGAGGCACCAAAGGACGGGGCATCGGAGGAAGTCGAGCACACGCTCGACACTTGCTGTGGTGTCGGTAGGTGTTGCACGCTGCTGGCTCCCTGCCACCCCCCTGCCACCCTGCCACCCTGGCTCTTACGCTTAATGAAAGTCTCACTGCCGTGTGCACCGAAACACGGAAAATGCGTAACGTGGCGAAACGTGGTGCAAACGGCGAAGGGATTGACATGGGTTTGGGCTTGGGTTTGGGCTCGGGCTTAGGCTTGGATCTTGGATCTTGATCGCCCTAACTTTATTTCTCTTACAAAACTGATAAATCCATTAAAATTTGCTTACTTTTATCGGGCTGCAGCAGCTGCAGGCCTTCGGGGGGAGGCCATCCTTCTTTAATTGCAGGCAGAGGAAAGTTTTCCGAAATTCTCTGGGAAAAAACGTGAAATGCGACTGCGAATGCGATGCTTAATAAATGACAGCAAACACTCTGCCTGCCAGAGGGGGCAGGAGGCCGGAGTGGCGCTGGCGGTGGCGGCAAAAGTTTTTAATTCGTGCATTTAAATTGCAACTAATTTGGCGCCACTTCAGAGGGAGCGAGACAGCAGGATGGAGCCTAGAGTCTCTAGAGCGACTAAATTCCATTTCAAATGCAGACGATGCCGGGGGCCGGAGCCGGAGCCGGGGACTGGCGTTGCGATTGTGGGAGGGCTAAAATACACAAACAATTTGCATCAATGAAATGTCGCGGCTGAGGAGGAGGAGGAGGAGGATGAGGAGTAGGAGGAGGAGCAGGAGGGGGAGGAGGAGGAGGAGGAGGAGCAGCAGGAGGAGAAGGAGGAGTAGGAGGAGGAGGAGGATGAGGAGGAGGAGGAGGAGGAGGAGGAGGAGGAGGAGGAGGAGGAGGAGGAGGAGGAGGAGGAGGAGGAGGAGGAGGAGGAGGAGGAGGAGGAGGAGCAGGAGCAGGAGGAGAAGGAGGAGTAGGAGGAGGAGGCTCTTGGAATAGTATGTTCCGCATCTGTTCAGCTTATGTATTTGCTCTATTCCACTCATTGGTGTAGGGGTCCACCCCCAGTCTAGCGGGGAGGGGGGTTGGATCTGTCTTTTGGTCTGTGCCTGGGTTTGGGTCTGGGTCTGGTGCGTGTAGTTGCACAATTTAAAAGGGAATTATTCATGCAATTTGTGTGGGGGGCGGCAGGACATTCCCCTCTTCCATGCCACCCACACACAGATACACACACAGACACTCGCTGTCCCTCCTTTGCTCAAGTGAGAGCGAGAGTGTGATGGAGATGGGTAGATAGGGGGGGGCAGACGGGGTAGTGAGAGCAGGCCCCGCGTTGGGGACACACTTTGCCAAATGAAACTGCAACCATTATACGAGCATGTACATATGTTTGTATGTAGGCATTGGATACACGAGTGTGTGGCAGGAGTGGCACGGGGGTGCCATGAGGGTGGCATTAAAAAGACGCCAAGTTTATTGCAGGCGACATTTTGTGGCTTATGCACACGTTCCACAAACACCCGCCCGCAGCAGACGGGGCACTCTGCCCGCCCTTGGCTTAATGTAATGATTTTATGAATTATAAATGCACACACGTGCCCATTATGCACATGCACACACGTTTCACGTTCCACGTTTCACTCGCACTCTCACTCTCACTCGCCCTCTCCCTCTCTCTCCCTCTCTCTCTCTCGCGTTTTGCCTTTGTCTTTGGCGCTAAGAAAATCGCGGGGCATTATAATTTCAAGTCACTGAAGGAGGAGAGGGCGAGGAACTATTATGAGCCCGGGCAACTTTGTGTCAACTTTGGCGCCGCTAAGTAGGCTATGAAAAAGAGCAGTTTAGAGGCCACCATCCACGAGGACATTCCATGAAATGTAATTAGTGTTTAAGCGTCTGAAAGTAACCGAAACCGATCTTTATACACCCTATATGCTCGTATATCTGCCTATTTATAGAAATACCCGATGTGGAAAGTGTCGTTGAACTCCTTGTGGCATATTATTAGGGGGAATGCGGATAATTTGTATTCAATGTGCACCCCAGTCGCGGCCAGAGGTGCCCCACTGCATGTTGCACTTACTCGGCCACTCTCGCCAGAAGAGTGCTCTCCTTCGAACCAACTCCGCTCTGAACCGAACCAACCAGCCGGGATTCCAACCCATTCAACCGCCCACCTGGGAGCCACTTACTTCCGGGCTTTGGCAGCCCCTTTTCCGCTTTGCCGCAGCTGTTGGCCCTGCATTAGTTGCTGGATAAGTTTCTGTGTCAACGGAGTGCCCACGTGGCCCTGCCACGCCCTCTATTTGTGGCTGCGAACCTCCTCCCGCCTTGCCCCTTCGCCAAATATAAATTTGTGCAATTAATATTGTGCTGCCTTCTGAAACGTTGCGCCTCGTTGCAAGTTGCAGCTTCCGATGTATGCGGCAAACCCACTCTGAGGGGTCCTGGAATCGGCTGGAAAGTGGAGTTGTTATTCCAAGTTCTGCCCTGCCTCATGTCTCGCACTGAGAACTTTCGCTTTTCGAAGAGTTTCGCAATTCCAACTCATCGCTCGAGGGGCTCTGGGGGCTCAAGGGGGACTCAGACGGCTCGGTGGCTCAGGGGGGGTCAATAGGAGATTCTTTTGCTGTAAATCTCTCGCTGTCACTTCCCCGGCGCCCCCGGCTTGATGGCAAATCAAATGCTAGTGACAGATTACAGCATCAATCAAGTTGCCACCGTCTTCCCCGCTGCCACATCCACTTATTGTTTCCCAGTCCCAGCCCCAGTCCTGTCCAGCATCCTTTTACATATCCCCTGGGGCTGGAACACGAGGCATGTGTGTGCGCCACATTAATGCTGTACATAAAGACTCGGAGAGGAGATAGATAGAGGCAGAGGCAGCGCCAGAGGGCGCAGATGTTCCTGCATTTGAAATGCCAACTGGCCAACGAAAGCTAAGCCAAGCCGCCAAGGCAGATGCGCCTCGAAGCAGGCAATTAAGTTTTACAGGCGCCGTAAAGACACTCCTCCAAATCCCTCCTGCCTCCTCCCGTTTCCGGTCCGCTCGATTAATTACAAGGAAGGCGGCACATTTCCGCCAGAGGTTTATGCCCAACATCAAACTGGTTAAGGCCGTAAACTGAACGGAAAGGCGATTCGCCTTTGAGTAGAACATTCATTGGCAAAGACTGGCAAAAGGCTGCCCAGCAAAGGCATTGATCCTTCGTCAAACAACACCCACCATGCTCATTCTTCCCCTCTCCTTCCCACATGCAAATAATCATATTTCATAGTCGTAGTACTCTTAAAATAGATGTGTGCAGCTCTGTTTTACCTTTCTTTTGAGACACAATGAATATTGCAAGCAGACAATAACCAAACGCCACTCTCTGTGTCACTTTTGCAGGCCTCGCCTTGAACACAAACTCGTTGACGGGTCGACGGGACTCCTTCGATCGCTCCACATCCGCCTTTAGTCCCTCGGCCATGGACTACACCAGCAGCGGAGTGGCGGCCGCCAACGCGGTCAACAGCACGGTGGCCCAGGCAGCGGCCGTGGCGGCTGCCGCCGCCGCTGCCCGCGCCAAGTGGCCGGGAGCGATGTCGGGCGCCGGGGCCTACGGGGCCTTGGGAGCAGCAGCCGCTGCTGCGGCGGCCAACGCCTCGGCCAGTCCGATCGGGGCCCCGCTGACGCCGCCCCCGTCGGCCCAGTCCTGTCTGCTGGGCAACCGGGCTCCGGGCGCCGAGTCGCGGCAACGACAGATGGCCGTGGGCCTGCCGGCCACCGCTGCGGCTGCCCAGGCGGCCGTCAACAACATGTTCGGCTCAAACAGCTCGCTGTTCTCGAGCCATTTGGCCATTCCGGGAACTGCGGCGGCGGCAGCTGCGGCAGCGGCAGCCAACTCGCGCCAGGTGGTCGCCGCTGCTGCGGTGGCGGCGGCTGCGGCCGGAGCCGCTGGAGCTGCTGGGGGGGCCCCGCAGCCAGGTAGGTCCCGGCTCCTGGAGGACTTCCGGAACCAGCGCTACCCGAATCTGCAGCTGCGCGACCTGTTGAACCACATTGTCGAGTTCTCGCAGGACCAGCACGGATCGCGGTTCATCCAGCAGAAGCTGGAGCGGGCCACGGCCGCCGAGAAACAGATGGTGTTCAGCGAGATTCTTGGCGCCGCCTACAGCCTGATGACGGACGTGTTCGGCAACTATGTCATCCAGAAGTTCTTCGAGTTCGGCACGCCCGAGCAGAAGAACACCCTGGGCATGCAGGTCAAGGGCCACGTGCTGCAGCTGGCATTGCAGATGTACGGCTGCCGCGTGATCCAGAAGGCCCTGGAAAGCATCTCGCCCGAGCAGCAGCAGGAGATCGTGCACGAGCTGGACGGCCACGTGCTGAAGTGCGTGAAGGACCAAAACGGCAACCACGTGGTGCAGAAATGCATCGAGTGCGTCGACCCCGTGGCCCTGCAGTTCATCATCAACGCTTTCAAGGGGCAGGTCTACTCGCTGAGCACACATCCCTACGGCTGTCGCGTCATCCAGCGCATCCTCGAGCACTGCACAGCCGAGCAGACCACGCCCATTCTGGACGAGCTGCACGAGAACACCGAGCAGTTGATCCAGGACCAGTACGGCAACTACGTCATACAGCACGTGCTAGGTGAGTCATCCTTCCGCGGTGGAATCCCAGCGTCCGCCTGGGAGCCTGGCAGCCCACTAACCTTGACTCTCCCATTCACCCGTCCATACAGAGCACGGCAAGCAGGAGGACAAGTCCATACTCATCAACAGCGTGCGCGGCAAGGTTCTGGTGCTCTCGCAGCACAAATTCGCCTCGAACGTCGTAGAGAAGTGCGTCACCCACGCCACACGCGGCGAGCGCACGGGCCTCATCGACGAGGTGTGCACCTTCAATGACAAGTAAGTCGCTAACAGCCGATCGCTAATCTCAGTGAAGTCAGACTCACTCCATTCCCTACTTTCCGCCCTACTTAGCGCCTTGCACGTGATGATGAAGGACCAGTATGCCAACTACGTGGTCCAGAAGATGATCGATGTGTCCGAGCCGACGCAGCTGAAGAAGCTGATGACCAAGATACGGCCCCACATGACGGCCTTGCGCAAGTACACCTACGGGAAGCACATCAACGCCAAGCTGGAGAAATACTACATGAAAATAACGCCCATATCCGTTGCGGGGGCAGTCAGCGGTGCCGGAAGCGCAGCTGCGACCACATCCACATGCTCGATTGCAGCGAGCAGTGCTTCCCTAGCGACCGCATCCTCAGCCGTCTCGCTGGACAACAGCAACAGCAGCAGCACCAACTCTTGTTCGACCACCACCAGCATCGCCTCGCCAACGATTTGCTCCGTGCAGGAGAATGGCAGCGCCATGATTGTCGAACCAACATCGCCAGCTGTGTCCGAGTCGTCATCGCCGGTGGTGGCTGCCGTCAACAGTGGCCTTGGTCCCATTGGACCACCCACAGCCGCCAACGGCGTCCTATAAAGACAAGTAGAGAAGAAATCATACGGTCGATGTAGTCAACAGAAACAACATCCTCCTTCTCGAATCGAGGTTTAGTTTTTAGTCTGGCATCTGCCAGAGCGTGGAGAGCGAGAGGAGAGCAAAGGAGAGCAAAGGAGACGAGCCAAAAGCTAAAGCATACTATAAATAAATACATATAAATGTAATCTAATTTATTGAACAAGCAGCCGAATCGTGCTGCAATCAGAAGAGAGAGAGCCCCATCTCCAGGCCCCGCCTGGGCCGTCGGAGAATTGTAAAGAGAGCACTAGCTCACTCACACGCACGCACGCATGCACGCTTCTCAAATACGAGTGAAAGCAAACACCCGAGCGGAACACCCAATATTGAATGCCATGCCTCCATGGCGTGCATTCTCGTGGCAGCCGCAACGATCACTGTGCGCACTGTCACTACTGTCAAGCACTGTGCTCGTGCACTCGAAAGAAGAAAACAAAAAAAAAAAGAAAACTCAAAACTAATTTGTATTTTTACGAACAAAAAATAGCACTTAGATGAACGGAAGATTTCAAACGAAATATTTGTACAATGCGATCGCATGTTTAAGTTAAAAACAAAGAAAGAAGAAAGAAAAACAAAGAAATTATTATGAATGTAATTGTCAAAGAAACAAATTGTCTGCGTACACTTTCGTTGTAACTTTGTAAATTAATGATTATATAGCAAGCCTATCTGTAAATGATTAATGTTTCGACTGTAAATTGATAAGAGGACAAACCGAAGAGCCGGAAATTGGAGGAGATTGCGATATAGAGCGTAGAGAGTAGAGAGTATAGAGTAAAGAGTAACGAGTAACGAGTAAAGAGTAAAGAGTATAGAGAGCGGCAGCACGAATATGCGTAGAATTTATAAGTTCGGACAGAGGAACCATTTCAAATATGCATACGTTTATATAACGAATAGCAAACATAAACCACACATAGTGTAGAACGTAGAGTAAATATATGTTAATGGAGCCAGCAGCTACCAAAACAATATGAAACCGGAAACACACACACACACACACACACACACGCAACACACACGATCACCGAAACACTCAAACACTCTCACAATTAACGACTCTTCGACTCATTCGCGCTGCTTTTGCACTGTGTAAAATTTTGTACAAAAAACCCCAAACTACAAACCATGTATCAATGAAACCATGTAATTTTTCAATTTGTTCACATGTAAAATTTAACGGTTATGTAAAATTCTCATTAATTTTAATTGAACTATTTTTTGTAAATTATGTACTTGCTGTGTATAGAGGGAAACGAAACGAAACGAAGCAAAACAAAACAAAACAAAACGAAACCGATTACCATAACGATAGCGAACCAAGAAGACTCACACGCACAGCACATCATACATACACACCTGTACACACCAACATTCACACGTACACAACACCCATACACGCATGCATCGGAAGCAAGTTAATATTATTATTATTATTATCCATTTTGTATACATATGTATGTAATTTGTAAATTTGTTTGATTTTAAGTCGCAGTAACCCATACTACTATACATATTCTATTCGATCCTACACGCATGTATTTATAATTTTATACATCCTCATGGCCTGGCCCCACGCACCGATGATATCATGATATGATCGGGATGAAGAAGATAAGCGAAAGGTGGGCGCCAGTTGAGAGAACCCAACCCCTGTTTAGCCAAGTAAGCCCAACTGATTACCGAATTATGATTTTTTTAATTGAAGATGATGATTTCTCAGCGATTTTTACTACTTGTATCAGCAAAACGAAACAGCAAATAAGAGAGATGAGAGGGCAGAACAAATGTACGCAAATCATATTAAATAAACCATAAACGAAGCGAATGCAAAATTTTACGTGTCCCCTTTTTTGGTTTCCCAAATTTATTGCAAAAGCCTTTCGTTTGTCAGTCATTGCCAGCCCACCTTACTGTACGATATAGAATGTATTTATACGGATATGCTTAAAAACAGCTCCAGACTACAGAAAGTGCTTACTGCCCCTGCGCGGCTTGAATTGCAATCGCTGTGCAACAGACATCTATGAATCATCTATGAGCCTCATTTCCCATCCCATCCCATCCGAACCGATCCGATAGCATCCCTTTCCCTCCCCCTAACCTATCCCTCACGTAAGTGTATAGAATTGTTTTAGCATGTTATCGAACACTTGTAAATTGCAAACAAAAATTTTATATGTATACATACATTGTAAAAAGTAACCAACAATACGAGTACCAAGAATTTTGTACATTTTGTTATATAAATTTAGACTATTTCGGGACGCCTTATTCCAATACTAAAATACTGAATACTGATTACTGAAACGAAAGACGGTAAAAACGAACGAATTTAGACCTTTTGTCGGTTTCGTCGAAGCACAGATGTATCCATGTAAAACAATTTTTGGAGATGAATGTAAAGTGTATTAATGCATATTTTTGTACACACAATTTCGTTGTCGTGTTTTTGTCGTTGTTGTTGTCGTTGTCGTTGTCGTCGCCATCGTCATCGTCATCATCGTCGTTGTCGTGTTTTGTATATAACAAAAGTAATATGTATGTACCATTCATCGACCATTTGTAACTATATCTTTCTGTACCCCTACCAACAACAAACATGATACATAGAAGTGCGGCCCCGCAATAAACCCGCAATCGCCAGCGCTAAGATCATTTGAGCATTTCAAGCGACGGCGCGAACAGTAGTTTGGTATTATTCGTTTGGTATTTTTAGTTATTAACTAATCAACTGCCTGTCTCTAGAGCGCAATGCACTGATAATTTTAATTCATATAATCCATAGAGGAATCCATTGTATGTAGGAATCTCGACATGCTTCTGTAGGCGATACATACATATGTACATGCTGGACGTTAGACGCTCTTTGCATTTAACGTTTAGTATACACACATGACACAAAACACCCGCACACCCGCACACCCGAACGCCCGAACACCCACATTTGCCCTCACAATCACAGAAACAGAAACACATACATACAGCAAGCTGCTTAGTCGTAATAGTAAGTGTAAGCCTGCAACTCTATATACATGCATCATACATACATATATACATATATATATAATAAATATATATATACTATACCTATATACACAAACAGATATAAAACATATGTCTTACACTTAGTTTTGAGCTCGACGTGTAGCAACGTTTTTAAATATGTATGTATATGTATATGTATACTGTATACTGAATAAGTATATGCAAATGCAGAGCAGAGCAGAGACACAGTGAAATTTACACGTAAGCTGGCGTATTCTACACGCGCCCAGTTTTTACAGTAACAATTTTTTGCACGCATGTAGATCACTTGAACAAGCAAGTCGAAGCCCGAGTCGGAGATATGTAGTGTAACTTTTACGAGATCCATGTAAACTTGTGACGTGAAGTGAAATGGTTTTTGTGTGCCACACGGCATGGATAACGATATTGAAAAGGCATACAAATTACCGATTTGTAAAGTATACCATATAGACACAGCAGCAGCAGAAATTTGTAAAATTTTTCGACAGAAGAACCTTGTAAACTAAGCTAAGGACATAGCTAAAATCCATACACTGAATAAACCATTTGTAATTTGTTGTAAAAAGAAAGTACGAACCGAGCGAGGAAGGAAATTTGACGGCCAGGCATTTCCTGAAGCAGACGTGAAGAATAAAAACTATAAATTATATATAAAAATATACTAATATATACATACATATAAATATAAATATAAATTATATTGGATAATTACGAGATGTATTTTGTAGTTACACACTCGAACACGGACACTTGGATCAACCAATCCAAGTATACAAGCAGAGCAAACCCTTAGTTTTGTAAACGGCGAGCAATTGGCACAAGTTACGAGTACGAGTATATATATACAAAATTTTGGAACGCATTCGAGCATTTGATTTAACTATGCATTAGACTCTTATGTTTATTATGATTATACTGAATATGATTAACGCTAATTTCTTTGTGAAAAAAATAAAACAAGTTTATTATGTAGCAAAAAGCAAACGTTTTATTTCTCAATTTGATCGAGTCAATTGGCCCTTCTTCACACAATACACCACACATGGATTTAGAATAAAAACTTGGGCTTATTTTTCTGTTTCTGTTTCTATTTCTATTTCTATTTCTGTTAGAGTTTCAGTTTCAGTTCTACAAATTTCAAGTTCAGCTTCAAGATTCAACAAATTGGCTTCAATGGAAGGCTGCGATGACAACAAAACTAAAATCAAAATTGATATTAATACGACATGAAGTTAGAGAATAGCATAGCATTACTAAATATACATGAAAGTAAATACATACATATATATAAATAGTACACACTAACCAAACCCTTCAGCCCTTCCCGACACCAACAAAACGGCACAACAAACATGAGCGCAAAGCTTGAGGCATTTTATACGGCGCATTTTTTATATATGAACAGAATAGCTGTCTATATTATATGTATACCCAAGAAATGATCAACTTTTATAATGAGCCAGTAAGTAAACAAGAAATATTTTTTTATCAGCCGTGGCAAGCAAATCTTTTACCAGGCCATAAATTTTAACAAGATTATACATACTAAAAGGAAGGATACCTAGCCTAAAACCAAAAATCAAGTCGAAAAAAACCAACAATAAAATTCATACCATACCATTTATCATCTAGTAGAATTTTTCCAAATTGTAGAAATGTATACATAAAAATATTTAGATTTGTACTTGCACTCCCGAAGTTCGGGTAGGGTAGGCATACATATTTCCACAGCATTAAACCATAAGTTGGTCATTCCTTGAACTACAATAAGCCAAGCGAAAATCAGTTTAAAAAGCAGCAGAGCAAGTGACAGCCTACAGTATAAATATACAGCCGAACAGTATATGAATAAAACCTGTATTCAACAGCAAGCTGTACGATCTAGAAAGTGGAAGGTCGAAAGGTCTATTAAGAAAAGCAATCAATTACCTCGAACCAGTTCTATTCCCTGTATTTACTTTTCTAACCCTTCAATGACCACATTTATCGATCTTCCACTTTAGTTTGGGGTGCTTAAAGAAGCCGCTCTTGACCAATGCTTGAACTCCTTTATATTTTAAAACCCTATAGCCCCAACAATACCCACTCAGAGAAGATACGGAGAAACTTGGTTTAAATTAAACAAAGATATTAACGAGAAGAACATGAAACCTTATTAGCCACGCATGTACGTACGAATGATGAACATAACTAATGAAAAAACTTGTAACTAAATACTTCTACATATTGAATAAAAGAATGATATTAAAAATGAAAATCGGTCAAGAGTCCTTTTTTGTTAAATTTATTAAATATGCGAGGTTTGTGTTAAGGCGTGCTGGTCCATTCAAATGAAATGAGATACATATACGATTGATATTTAATCAGTAATGGCTTGCATGGAAGGAGTCCAATCAATACTACAAATTGAAACTATTGAAATCTTAAGTTGCAGGCCTGGATCATTCTTGAATTATAATTCAATTATCGATAATTATCGATATCGATTGTATTTGATGGAACAAGATTGAAATTCAGTTGCAACTGTTTGAATTCGATTGAAATAGATTGTAAAGGAGTTGATTGAACTAGGTTGAAAACGGTAAAATGGGATTGAAATTGTTTGAAATAGGTTTAAGTAAGTTTAAGGCGATTGAAGCGATAGCTTGCAGGCGGTAGAAATTGATGGAATTGCATTGAAATCGGCTGAAATAGATTGAAGATACGATAAATTATAAATTCATAGAAAATATTCGTTCTGACAACAGCGATTTGGAACTCCCCTTCTCGTGAATGAAACTATTGAAGTTTCTTTTTATACCCGATACTCAAAAAGAGTATAGGTGGCGATAGTGGATGTGTGTTACACAGAAGGAAGCGAGGCTTTTGGAAGGGCGTGCTCATCCCTTCAAGACAAGTACAAACATTAATAAGTTAATAAATACGAATTCGTAGGAGGGTGTGTACATACGGTCGACACTTCTCCAAAAAGAGAAAATTCTGGACTATGTATTTGGTAAAATAGTACTTACCAGCTCAATATCGTTTGTTATAACTGGCAGTTATACATACATATGTAAGTTGGCTAATCTGACCGCCTTGACGGCATGAAAGTGTTTTTCCACAAATAGTGTGTCGACTGTCGACTGATATTCCTAGTCAACCAAATTGGACTTTTTATGCTCGGTACTCGAAGAGTTTAGGACTATATTAGTTTTGAGGTGGTAGGAATCGCTTCCGACCACACAATGTATATATGTTCTTTATCAGCATCCATAACTGAGTCGATATTGCCATATCTGTTTGCCCGTCTTGTTTTACATCTAGTTCTCAAAGACTATTAGAACTAGAGCAACAAAATTTTGTGTGGAGACTACAAAGGTCGAAAATCAAAGGCAATTTTTAAGAGGGAAAACCGAAAACGCGGAATCATAGAATATTACCATATTTACCAGATTTCAAAATTTTGATTAGATCGGATCATTATTTTAACCCCAACTCTCTGCCCACTAAGCACCCTTCCACCTTCAGTGTGCGCCTTCTGGTAGAGGGAAGCTACATACATACATAATATATATCCAAAAACAAATAAAAAATAAACTTATAACTTACATACTAATTTTTGGGACCTTAAAAGAAAAGAGTAGATAATTGTGAGTTGAGTAGTAAATTCGAACTCAATTTTATTCTTAAAATCCAAGCCTTATACATATATAATCTAACAATAAGGTATGAGGTGCAAGACCCACGGAATGGATACAAAGTTAATGCGGCTTGCAATTCGAGTGCATGCATCCATAAGTGTTATTTTGGGACTATATTGGATAAGTGTTTCTCCACTTTTGTTTTGTTGTCGTGCTTGTTAATGGATTAATAGACCTCCGCTCACACCCCGCTAATTTATGTAAACGATAGAGTTCGGTTTACATAATTGAACGTGTTTAATAATGAGTTCTTGTTTGAACAGTGGCCTTTGGTTTAATATGGGTTTCGAAAGAAAATAACTCACTCCTAGTAAGTAATAAGTAATTAATAATAAGTTTAGGCTTGTAGCGCTGGAAAATAGCATGAAATAAATATAAATTTAAATTGCAAATAGCTGTTATTACATTAAGCCCCGAGGCAATTACTTTTGTTTGTGTTCTGTACCATTTGCTTACAATATAATTCCAGATTTCTAATCATGAAAACACAGACTTGTCTCCCCAACGGCTTTTTGAATTTTGGCCATACTTTTCGTTGCCTTGAGTATCATGTGCATATATAGTTGAAACGAAGACCTCGCCACAATTACTGCTTATTTTACCTTTAGCAATTACTCGGACTGCTCGCCTACTAAATCGGGACTAAATCCTGGTCCGAAACGCACAGCCCATCGATCTAAAGAGCGATTTGTTGGCAAATTTAAATGTAAAACATCTCGGAGATATTCATAAGTCCTTTTCGAGTAAAAGTGTATATTTTGCGCAATAACTTTTTCTGCGGAGCTAAATATCTTTGTCTTTTTCAAAAGCATGATACATATAGCTTTTGCTTCTGCAGAAACATGAGACATGTTGGCTATTATGGGAAGAACACAATAATTTGTGTTAGCTCTAATTCTCCGACGCCTTTTGTCCCGAGATATACATTTTTTTAGGGCCACATATCGTTTCTTTAATTTGTTAAAGTCTTCTTCTTTTTTTCTTTTTTCTGCCAATATCTCAAAGTATTTTTTTGTGAAATATGCCTCGTTTTTCTCCTTTTCTATGCAGTTTTCACAACGTTTGACATCAATCGATTCATTATTTTCTAGGGGATCTTCATCAGGCGTTTCTGTTTCGGACTCTTGATTTAGATCCTTTGAAATTGTATTATGTCTTTCAGCCAGTTTGATTCTCTTTGATTTCATTGGTTTTTCAATTGGTTCGTTATCTTCTGCATTGCCTAAAAATGAATTCTCACCATAACTTTCTTCATGCAGTGGTTTCAATGCAGGATTATCAGACAATTTTAACGTTGGTATTGCTTCGGGCTTCAATCGAAGATTTCCTATATACTTGGCATCAAAATGCCGTTCGCAAATTCGGGCTGTTTTTGTCACCAAATTTCTATCCAAACGACAAATCTCAACCCATTTACTGAAGAATAATGGATCCGATGGAAATTTGTATAACTTTACAGAAAAATTGGTAATTTTTGTTCTATGTCCGTAAAGGCAAGAAGAAATAATGCATTTGCCAGCGCATTTTTGGTTGTCTTTTTGATTAGCGAACGATTCTCCTTTTGGTCCCTTTTTGGACAATTCTATTTCAATCGATTCATTATCTTCAAATGGATCGTCATTAGGCGTTTCAGTTTCGGACTCCGGCTCAAGGTCGTTTGAAATTGTATTATACACTTCGCCCAGTTTGAGTCTCTTTGATTTTATAGGTTTTTCAATTGGTGTTTTGTATACCTTAATGCCTGAAAATGTATTCTCGTCACAAATACCTGTATTCAATGGAGACAATAGAGTATTATCAGACAAGTTCAGTGTTGGTATTGCTTCGGGCTTCAATCGAAGCTTTCCTATATACTTGGACTGGAAATGGCGTTCGCAAATTCGTGCAGTTTTTTTGATACAATTGCTGTCTAAATTACAAGCCTTAACCCATTTATTAAACCAGGCTAGATTCGACGGAAATTGGAATAATCTAACGCGGGAATCTTTCGTATTATTTCTATATCCCCAACGACAGGAAGAAATAATGCACCTGCAACCGTTTGGGCGGTAGTGTTTTTTTTTAACGGACGAATCTTTTTTTGTCATCTTTTTGCACAATTCCATATCTATCGATTCATTGTCTTCAAATGAATCTTCCGATTCATTATCTTTAACTGAATATTCCTCAGACGTTTCTGTTTCGGACTCTTGCTCTAGTTTGTTCGAAACTTTATTATGCATTTCGGTCAGTTTGATTTTCTTTGATTTCATACGTTTTTCGATTGGTTGGTTGTCTACTGAAATGTCTGAAAATGAATTCTCGTCACAAATACTTGCATTTAAGTCATAATCTGCCAAAGAATCATCCTCAGACGTTTCTGTTTCAGACTCTTGCTCTAGGTTGTTTGAAATCTTATCATGCACTTCGTCCAGTTTGATTCTCTTTGATTTCATTGGCTTTTCAATTGGTTTGTTGCCTACTGAATGGCCAGAAAATGTATTCTCATTACAAATACTTGCATTTAATGGAGTCAGCGGAGAAAGGTTTAATGTTGGAACCGCATTGGACTTTAATCGACGCTTTCCTATATACTCAGGCTTAAAATGCCGTTCACAAATTCGTGCAGTTCTCTTCACCAAATTTTTGTCTAAACGACAAACTTCAACCCATTTATTGAAGAATAATGGATCTGATGGAAAAGTGAACAACTTCACAGGAAAATTGGTGGAACTGTCTCTATATCCACAAAGGCAGGAAGAAATAATGCATTTGTAGCCGCATTTTCGGTTGTCATTTTGATGAGTAGACGGCATAGTTAATTAATAATCTAATTATGTGGGTTAATGCTTACAGCAACAAGTGGCAGGATATAAATGCGCACAGAGGACCCCTACTAGTCCAAGAAGCATATGCAGTTTGGACACTGGTTGACTGGAAGGAGTGGCCGGAGACAGTTGTGCGGAGGAGAAGTGCCTGATATGCGATCACGGGATCCCTATTGGCAGCCCTATTACGGTGCGTGCGAGCTGCCGCCAGAGTATTGCAAAGTCGCTGCAGGGAGAGGTATTGAGTATTAAATTAGTTAGAACTACCCAAGAAATGAGCGGACTTACTTACCTGCGTCTATACTATGGGTTGAGAGAAGAGAGTCTGTGGTGTTGGCCGAATCCTATCTTAGCGAAAAGGCCTGAAAAGCGGGACAAATTAAGAAAAAATACAATACCATTTAGTAAAAAAAAACTTACCCATCAAGCAACGCGATTATATGGATGAACACTGCTTTTCTTCTGTTTCTCGTCGTTGTGTTGTTTCACGATGCACAGGGTCTTTTATTCTGTTGCATGTGTTTTTTGTCAGCACAATCCGGGTTGCAATGCCATTCCTCTGTTGGTTTGTTGTTTATTTCAAGATATTTCCATGCTACGTGATGCTAGGGATGAATATCGTTAGGCTGCAAGAATTATCGATGTCTCTATCGGTATGTTTTTTCAAATATCAATATATCGCTTGAGAAAAAGTAGGGCCTCGAAGTCTAGAATGTGAATTTAAAAGATGCCTCCAAGCCCAACATCAGTAAATAATTATAGTTTGTACAACTTCCTGGAAGAAAAGATGATAGTTGAACAAAAATATGCCAAGCCGATGCGATGTTTATTGCAATTTTCTTGGAAATGCATCGCAGGATACAGATTGGCTCCAATACTGGAAACAAAAAAGCATCAAGTTTATTTAATTCTTTAGCACTTTTCTTAATTATCTTAAAACTTGTCAATGTAATAATGCAGCCCTAATTGAAATATCAATATATCGATATATATTTTTGGACTGGCCAAGATAATAATATGGTCTTTTAGGTGAGATATATCTGCAACGAAACTACTTTGCTGAGTTCGGACACTGGCCTTCGGAGAAACGATTTTTTTTTTGCTTTGTTGCTTACTTCGCTATCTTTATACCCGCGTCTTTTGAATCTACTTATCGGTGCACGGCACAGAAATATATCGGATATTTCGTGCGAGACTTATCGGCGTTTTATTTTGAAATCCAAAATATTATAGTCGAGTTTGTGACAACATTTTTGCGGCATAAATTCCCAAAGTGGTCGTAGAGGTTTGAACACTTATACATTACCGGCATGGATGCCAGTTTCGAATTGACCCAATATTGTCTCTATACTCAATGTAGTTTCTGAAATGGTATGTTTAAATAACATATTAACCTATGATTATGATTAACACCAGATTAAACATACTTATCGTTGAAGGATATACACTTACATGAGCACTAACGACTAACCCCACTAGCGACTAGCCCCTTCCCGTGTCGTGGGACCAACTATGCCCAACTTAAATATATGTACATACAAAAAACACTGCAAAGGAGCTCGGCACTCCTCCTAAAGTGCCGGAGGGAAAAGACCATCCCTCTACTAACGCATCTGGGAAGCCAGTGCCCAAAACGACGGGGAAGGAGACTAAGTCGGTCCACCGTTTTCAGGCAGCAGGCGCTGCGAGGCTAGGACCGAAAAGCCAAGCGGGCCAATCCACGTCGGGGGCCCCAAGGGCGTCCTGGTTACCCGTGTGGCAGCCATGCAGAGCTATATCGGGGCTGGCGCCTCTGCCTCGAAAGATGGCCCAAGTTTCAAGACAAGAGGCGTGCGGCCTTCATCCTGGGCAACGACGACCCGGTGTTCCTGGCGTCTGCCCAGGGAATCGAATCGCGGCGATGGGCCAAGACGGTCCTGCCCGACTACCAGCCAGCCAAAGCTGGCAAGGCCGCAGCCAAGGCCCTCAGCAAGCGGCAACGCCGGAAGGTGGCCAAGGTAGAGGAGGGCAACGGGCAGGGGCGCCAAATCATCCTCGTCCTGAACGAGGAGTCCGTTAGACTTCTCCACGACACGGAGGGAACTGTGGACTACGGCTACAAGAAGGTAGTCATAGTGGAGCCCCCGGAGATCCCTAGAATGGAGATCAAGCCTGTGTCGGTGTCGGACGAGGCATCAGTAGTGTCGGATGACATCTTAGATGGGTACGTTTCAGACGTGAGCGAATTGATAGCTGCATCAATAGTAGCTTTTGGCCTTTACAGAGCGTGGAGACAATTATTTTTTTACTATATTGCTTAAATTACAGAAATTTTCTCGTAAGGTATCTTTGCTAAATTGACCAATTTTATTGCTGTCAAAAATCATTTTAGATGGATTACCACCAAATTCAGGAATTGCCTGCAAAATTTCCTTGGCATATACCCGATCGGCAGCTGAAGACTCTATGTTGGAATTTTCTTGTTCGTTTAAACTATTTTGAGACTATTGCTCAGCATCTGAACAATCTGCATCTGTAATCCATCCAATCTTCCTGTAATTCAATTTCTTCTTTTTCTGATTTACTGTCTATTGTTCCTTCTTCTTTTGTTATGTTGGAAAGAGTCAGAGCGAGAAAAAATTAAATTGTTTGCTTCAGTCTGGCTATAGTAATACTTTACATATACGATCTGGTTCAAATTCTAGAAGATTTAGTCATTCTCCTGACTTGAGAAATGTGAATGCAACAGATTTTCATACTTTGTGGAAGCGGAACGGAGAGGAGCGAAGTTTTAAAATACTCTTGTAACAGTGACATATCACAGAAGTCTGGATACAAAATTTCGTTGCTCTAGCTCTTATAGTCTCTGAGCACTAGGCACTCATCGGGACAGGCAGACGGACATACAGACATAACTCAATCGACTCGGCTATTGATGATTATCAAGAATATACACTTCCTTCTGGGTGTTACACACATCCACTTTTACTGCAAAGCTAAAATCTGTTTATGAGTTTTACATTTTGGAAAGCTTTGGAAAATTTTCTATCAGATCCGTTTAGTTAACTTTTGCCCTCTGATTTCAGCTGAGACACCACTGTGCGACCGATTTTATTTATTAGCATGATTTACAAAATCCGACAGAGTAAAATAAATTAAACAATACAAATATTAGTATATATATAATATATCGTGAAAACACAGACCTCTCTCACCAACAGCTTTTATGTATTTGGCTATAATTTCCCTTCCTTGGCAATTTACACAACTTTTTTTGGGGACTGGGGCCCGAGTAATTTAGGAGTAAATCCTGATCCGAAACGCTCACTCCATCGATCTAAAGTGATATTTGCTGGCAAATGTAAGTTTAAAACATCTCGGAGGTATTCATAGGTCCTTTTCGAGTAAAAGTTTAAGTTTTGCGCAATAACTCTTTCAGCGGGGCTAAAGATCTGTGACTTTTTCAAAAGCATGATACATATAGTTTTTGCCTCCGCAGAAACATGAGACATGTTGGCTATTATGGGTAGAACAGACAAATTTGAGTTAGTTTTAGTTTTCCGGCGCCTATGGGCATTGGCCCGAGATATAGATTGTTTCAGGGACGCATATCGTCTCTTCCATTTGTTAATGTCTTCCTCTTTTTTCTCTTTTTCTGCCAATAACTCAAAGTATTTTCTCGTGAAATATGCCTCGTTTTTATCTTTTGCTACGCAGTTTTTACAACATTTGACATCAATCGATTCATTATTTTCTAGTGGATCTACATCAGGCGTGTCTTTTTCGGACCGTTGCTCTAGTTTGTTCGAAATTGTATTATGCACTTCTTTCGGATTGATTCTCTTTGATTTCATATGTTTTTCAATTGGTTCGTTGTATAATGCATTGCCCGAACAGGAATTCTCACCATAAATATTTGAATTCAATTCATTATTTTCTAGTGGATCTTTATCAGGTGTTTCTGTTTCGGACTCTTGCTCTAGTTCGATTGAAATGTTATTATGAACTTCGGCCAGTTTGATTCCCTCTGATTTCATTGGATTTTCAATTGGTTCGTTATCTTCTGGCATGCCCGAAAATGAATTCCCATCATAAAAACCTTCATGCAACTGATTCAATGGAGTATTATCAGACAATTTCAATGCTGGTATTGATTTGGACTTCAATTTACGCATTCCTATATCCTCGGCTTTGAAATGCCGTACACAAATATGTGCGCTTTTTTTCACCAAATTTTTATCTAAGCCACAAACCTCAACCCATTTATTAAAGTACAATGGATCCGATGGAAATTTGAATAACTTTACAGGTAAATTGGCCGAACTTTTTCTATATCCAGAAAGACAGGTAGGAATAATGCATTTGTAACCGGATTTTCGCGTATCTTTTTGATTAGCATACGACATAATTAATTAATAATAAAATTAACCTGCTTATAAAGTAATATTTGGATATACTCTAGATTACCATGAATTAAGCAGCAACAAGTGGCAGGATTTAAATGCGCACAGAGGACCCCTACTAGTCCAAGAAGCATATGCAGTTTGGACACTGGTTGACTGGAAGGAGTGGCCGGAGACAGTTGTGCGGAGGAGAAGTGCCTGATATGCGATCACGGGATCCCTATTGGCAGCCCTATTACGGTGCGTGCGGGCTGCCGCCCGAGTATTGCAAAATCACTGCAGGGAGAGGTATTGAGTATTAAATTAGTTAGAACTACCCAAGAAATGAGCGGACTTACTTACCTGCGTCTATACTATGGGTTGAGAGAAGAGAGTCTGTGGTGTTGGCCGAATCCTATCTTAGCGAAAAGGCCTGAAAAGCGGGACAAATTAAGAAAAAATTCAATACCATTTAGTAAACAAAAACTTACCCATCAAGCAACGCGATTATTTGGATGAACACTGCTTTTCTTCTGTTTCTCGTCGTTGTGTTGTTTCACGATGCACAGGGTCTTTTATTCTGTTGCATGTGTTTTTTGTCAGCACAATCCGGGTTGCAATGCCATTCCTCTGTTGGTTTGTTGTTTATCTCAAGATATTTCCATGCGAAACGCGATATGACAGACGTGATGCTAGGGATGAATATCGTTAGGCTGCAAGAATTATCGAAGTTTCTTTCGGTATGTTTTTTCAAATATCAATATATCGCTTGAGAAAAAGTAGGGCCTCGAAGTCTAGAATGTGAATTTAAAAGATGCCTCCAAGCCCAACATCAGTAAATAATTATAGTTTGTACAACTTCCTGGAGGAAAAGATGATAGTTGAACAAAAATATGCCAAGCCGATGCGATGTTTATTGCAATTTTCTTGGAAATGCATCGCAGGATACAGATTGGCTCCAATACTGGATACAAAAAAGTATCGAGTTTATTTAATTCTTTAGCACTTTTCTTAATTATCTTAAAACTTGTCAATGTAATAATGCAGCCCTAATTGAAATATCAATATATCGATATATATTTTTGGACTGGCCAAGATAATAATATGGTCTTTTAGGTGAGATATATCTGCAACGAAACTACTTTGCTGAGTTCGGACACTGGCCTTCGGAGAAACGATTTTTTTTTTGCTTTGTTGCTTACTTCGCTATCTTTATACCCGCGTCTTTTGAATCTACTTATCGGTGCACGGCACAGAAATATATCGGATATTTCGTGCGAGACTTATCGGCGTTTTATTTTGAAATCCAAAATGTTATAGTTGAGTTTGTAATAACATTTTTGCGGCATAAATTCCCAAAGTGGTCGTAGAGGTTTGAACACTTATACATTACCGGCATGGATGCCAGTTTCGAATTGACCCAATATTGTCTCTATACTCAATGTAGTTTCTGAAATGGTATGTTTAAATAACATATTAACCTATGATTATGATTAACACCAGATTAAACATACTTAGCGTTGAAGGATATACACTTACATGAGCACTAACGACTAACCCCACTAGCGACTAGCCCCTTCCCGTGTCGTGGGACCAACTATGCCCAACTTAAATATACATACAAAAAACACTGCAAAGGAGCTCGGCACTCCTCCTAAAGTGCCGGAGGGAAAAGACCATCCCTCTACTAACGCATCTGGGAAACCAGTGCCCAAAACGACGGGGAAGGAGACTAAGTCGGTCCACCGTTTTCAGGCAGCAGGCGTTGCGAGGAGAGGACCGAAAAGCCAAGCGGGCCAATCCACGTGGGGGGCCCCAAGGGCGTCCTGTTTACCCGTGTGGCAGCCATGCAGAGCTATATCGGGGCTGGCGCCTCTGCCTCGAAAGATGGCCCAAGTTTCAAGACAAGAGACGTGCGGCCTTCATCCTGGGCAACGACGACCCGGTGTTCCTGGCGTCTGCCCAGGGAATCGAATCGCGGCGATGGGCCAAGACGGTCCTGCCCGACTACCAGCCAGCCAAAGCTGGCAAGGCCGCAGCCAAGGCCCTCAGCAAGCGGCAACGCCGGAAGGTGGCCAAGGTAGAGAAGGGCAACGGACAGGGGCGCCAAATCATACTCGTCCTGAACGAGGAGTCCGTTAGACTTCTCCACGACACGGAGGGAACTGTAGACTACGGCTACAAGAATGTAGTCATAGTGGAGCCCCCGGAGATCCCTAGCATGGAGATCAAGCCTGTGTCGGTGTCGGACGAGGCATCAGTAGTGTCGGATGACATCTTAGATGGGTACGTGTCAGACGTGAGCGATCTTACTAGGGATCTAAAGCACATCGGGGTCGGGGAGGAGCTGGACTCTTCGGATAGCGACCACGACAAGACAAAGGTGGAGCTAAACATCAGGAATGTCACTGATACTACTGCAGATAAACCTCCACCATTGTAAGGCAGCATGCGCTACTCTCTTGCTCTACCTAGCCAGGGGTGGAGCCGACATAGTCCTCATTCAGGAGCCCTGGATCCTCGGAAACAGGATCTCTGGTCTCAGGACTCCTGACTATAAGCTATACGTAGCTGACACCGCAGTTAACAAGAGATTTGCACTTATTTTTGCTCCCAAATTTCAGCAATGAAGATCAAACAGCAGTGAGCCTCGAAGGCCAGGGGTGCTCACTGAGAATCTGCTCCACGTACATGGGTCACGACTCACCAGACCCCCCTCCACAGGCGCTCAGGGCGCTAATCACAGACTGCGAGGCCAAGGACACCGGCCTAATCGTAGGGTGCGACGCCAATGCACACCACTGCCAGTGGGGAAGCACTGACACTAACGAAAGGGGTGAGTACCTTTTCAACTATTTACTGACCACCCAGATGGTCCTATTCAATAGGGGGAGTGATCCCACCTCACACTTGCTTCTCATGAGATACATGGGAACATCGTATTCTGGAGGGTCCTGGAAGAGCACTCCTTCTCGGACCACAGGTACGTGGAAACCGTACTCTCTTTTTCACTACCGAGACCAGCTCAATTTCGGAACCTCAGGCGGACAAACTGGACTCGGAACTCAGACCACCTCTGTCGTGTTCTCCCTGAGACCCCACCTGATTTCCAGGGAGGCCACGACTCATCTTGTTAAACTATTTACCGACGCCTGCAATGAGGCGCTCGATAAATCCTGCACCTCTGGCAAGAGCAGAGGCCGGAAGAAACCTGAATGGTGGACTCCTAAACTGGGTGAACTCCGGAAAGCCTCCCGGAGACTCTTTAACACAGCTAAGGCTGAGAACGTTGAGCGGAACTGGGCCGAATACAAGGGCTGTCTGTCAATTTTTAATAAAGAACTGAGGAAAGCCAAACGTCTGCAGCGACATTGAGCGACTATACCCACTCTGAGCTACCTGAAGAATGCCGACCAATCGTGGAGAACGTCCAGCAATGAGTCGCTAAAACTTCTCCTTAACACCCACTTTCCCGGCTGCGATGAAAACAGACCACTCTACATCGCGGCTCTTTCCGTTGCCTCAAGTGATATCATAAACCAGGAGAGATTTCCTGGGCAATTAAAAGCTTTAAACCATACAAGTCTGCGGGGCCAGATGGCATCAACCCTGCCCAACTGATTCACGCTAGACAAAAATACACTAATTGGCTCAAAAGAATTCACAGGGGGTCTTCTCCCACGGGTACATCTCTGACACCTGGCTTTAGACCAAAGTCGTTTTTATTCCCAAGGCAGGCAAAGGTTTCAGAACCATAAGGCTATTGTCCTTCCTTCTGAAGACGATGGAACGGCTCCTGGGGCTACATCACACGGCGAGTATTCCGCCCAGTCTAATCTCAGACTCCCAGCTTGCCTATAGGAAGGGAAGATCCACAGAAACGGTCCTACACACGATCACATCGATCATCGAAGCGTCCAATCATGCTCTAAGGAGTATAACTTGTCTCAACAAACTCAGTAGAGGTCAACTACTGGCAGAGCTATGCTAAACTGGCGGGCTTTAGGGTGGACTAAAGGTGGAGATAGGCGAACCAGGACCTGCACATGCGATCCACTTCTATACTGATGGCTCAAAGCTAGACGGCCGCGTGGGAGGTGGAGTCTACTGTCACAGTACAGAGCTAAACATCAGTTACCTCTATAGTTATTGCCACGGCACGCATGTCCTCTTTGGGAGTATAGAATGGAACTTGCACTACCAGTCATTTCTGTACTGCAGTGTCATTCTGTATTTGCTTCCTTCATTGTTTTAAATGTGCATCCTCAAGAATAGTTTTTAGTTTACCATGCTCACAATTTTTTACCATAGCTACGGCTTCTTCAGTCCTTCATCATATGGACGTTGACATGCAATGACTGCATCTATCAAGAGGCGATGCAATTACTGCACCGTCAAGTGGCCCGTGTGACACAAGCAGAAGGCTGTTACGCGCGGATCCCAGGCAAAACGCAGCCCTCCTCCCGCCCAACCGACCGAGGGGCGCTGCCGCATGACGCGCGGTGCGTAGCCGAACCAAACGCGAGCATGCAGAAAGATAGATATTAGACTAACATTCGAGGAAAATTAGCACTAAACTTATTAAGAAATTAAGCATGCAATAAAATACAAAATACAAATACCACTACAATTACTAATTACTAGAAAGGTGTGTAAGGATTAGTAATTTAATAAGAGGAAGAGAATTAGTGGAGGATATAATATGGTAGAGGGAATTATAATCCGAGCATAAGACCCTAAACGGTTCATGCAAGGAATAATTCGATCTACAAAGTGGAAGGAACAACGGTATAAAGTTTCTAGTCAGTCTAATAGGAATCGTGAAGTTTATGCGGCTCAACAGATCAGGGCTGTCTATGTCACCCCTGATCAAGTTGTGCATAAATATCACACCAAGCATTTTTCTACGGTTAACTAAGGATGGGAGGTTTACTAATAATAGTCTACTAGAGTAAGATGGGAGTCTTACACCCGCATCCCAGTTAAGGCCCCGCAGAGCAAAGAGTAAAAAGTTTTTCTGTACTGATTCTATACGGAGGGCACCATACACAGGAGCAGTATTCTAAGATCGGACGAACAAGCGAGGTATAGAGAGTCTTTGTTATATAGGGGCCGTCAAATTCCTTTGACCACCTCTTTATAAACCCAAGCAGGCCCATGGCCTTATTTACTATGGTAGAAATGTGTTCGGAAAACTTTAACTTGGGATCTAACATAACACCCAGATCATCCACCAGGGTAATTCTCTCAAGAGAACCCCCAAATAGGGTGTAGGGAGCCAACAAAGGGTTAGAACGATGAAATGTCATAACTTTGCATTTCGAGGCATTAAGGTGTAACAAGTTTGCACATCAGCTATTGAAAGCTATTGAGATCGGATTGCAAGCGAGAATGAAATGAAATTTCCTTGTACTGGACACAGAGTTTAACATCATCCGCATACATAAGTACTCGAGAGTATGTTAATACTGAAGGCAAGTCATTAATAAAGAGTGTGAAGAGTAAGGGGCCTAGATGGCTGCCCTGTGGTACTCCCGAAGAAACCTTTACTGGTAAAGAGAGGGAGTTTTTGAAGAGGACTCTTTGAGACCTAGAACAAAGATAGCTAGAAATCCATCTCAGGAGGTTGGGCGGAAACCCTAAAAGGTCAAGTTTATGTGCTAAAAGGGAATGGTTTACAGAG